CCCTCTGCCCCATCATTTTCTCTCTCCTTTCTGTATTCCCTCACATTTCCTCCCTTTCTTTATTCACCTTTCCCTGAACTAAGCCTCTGGGAAGTTGTCCAGGAATTTTCTTTTGTCCTCCAACTTCAGGGGAGTGGTGTAATTTGAAAATATTTTTCATGAAACCAGGCGAGACCTTACAACTTGAGTGGTCAAGTGTGGTATGTACTTTCTGTGGCTCCCCAAACATTTAAAAATAAAAATTTGGCCTGGAGCTCACCGGGCCTTCAGTGGAATAGGGTTTCCCTAAATGTGGGCCGACCTCTCTCTTTTGCTGTTAAGTGGACGTTAATGTGACTTCGTGTGTTCGTGTTAATGGTTACTCCAGCAAAGGGGCCGTGGACAACTTGGCACAGATGGAATGACTTCTCTATTGACCCAACTCCCAGCCGTTAGATAACGAGGCAATGATGGAAGACTGACCGTGGCGGTGTTTCCCTTCTCTCCTAGGATGCTGCCTCCCTCGGTTCTCAGAAGGGTGGGATCACCAAGCACGGCTGGCTGTACAAAGGCAACATGAACAGTGCCATCAGTGTGACCATGAGGGTGAGCAGGCTCCTCGTCCTGCTCTCCCCCCTCGAGAACCCCCTTCTACAATAGGTCTTGAGTATCATCAAGATGAATGGACGTGCTATTCTTCCAGACAGCAGGGACATTATCTGGTTACCAAGTTTCTTCTGTGGTGGTAACAACCCCATTGGTCCAGCCCTGTCCATGCACTTGCCCTCATAGTCCCCTAAACACCAGCATAAAGGGACCACCACCGGGCTGGTGTGAGGGGCAATCGCTGACGTAGGCTGCCTTCTCCGCGTTGCCCAGAGAGTGCGCCTTGGTACTTCACGGACCATCACCAAAGGGGTGTGCTTCGTGCTAAACCTGGGCTGTACATCTGTGAGGGCATAGCACAAGGTCAACTAAAGCAAACACTGAGGATGGAAAAGGAAAGACTGAGGGAAGTAAAACTAGTGTAAGAAGCTATTGAGAGTGGTAGGACCAGGGAAAGATCTGGATTAGTGGTAACGAGGAAAGCAACAGTGCTGGGGAGGTAAGATAACCAGGGAGATGAAAATTTAATTAGGAAGATGCTGACTGTCATAATCCTGAGGCTGGAGAACCATTCGGGGTCACGAGGCAGAAAACAGTTCCCATTCTGTTTCAGCAAAAAGCCCTGGGGATTCTAGAAAAAGTTTCCATCCTGCCGTGCTGCATCCCAAATTGGAACTCCCTGCACTGCTTTTGGTGGTTATGTAAAACCTCAAATTCTGGGGGTGAGAAAAATGACCGGTGGATGTTAAACGAACGAGCTGGTCAGAATGGAAATGCAGAGACCATGAGACGCAATGGGGAGTCTTGCCCTGCCCAGTCCTATGGAGTATCAGCTAGAATTAGAGTTGTCTTTGAAAGAACAAAAATAGGTTTTATGTATGAATGTAGTTTTCAGTTAGTTTGCAACAGAGATTGTGACTCTTCATTTTGAAAGAGTTAATGTGTGTCTGTTTTTCTCTCAGTCATTTAAGAGGCGGTTTTTCCACCTGATTCAACTTGGGGATGGATCCTATAATTTGAATTTTTATAAAGATGAAAAGATCTCCAAAGAACCAAAAGGATCAATATTTCTGGATTCCTGTATGGGTGTGGTTCAGGTAGGTATGAAAAGAGTTTTGTCACCAAGTTTTCTTTTCTGCAGGAGCCTTAGGTGTGAATTAGCAGATTTAAGTAAATGCTTCCAAACATGGCAGTTGATGATAGAAATATAATAGCAAGTTTAAAGTAAGTAATGGCTTGTGTCTCAGCATTCGAGCAGGTGGCAGGTCTACTGTGAAGGGAGAATAACGTGGTGGGCACGAATGCTTTGGAACACGGGTTCTTGTGTTAGAACTTGCCATGGTCACTTTTTAACCTTACGACCTTGGACAGGCTAACCTAAAATTTCTACATTCAAAATTTAAATAACAATAGTGTTTCTTTAGTAGGGTGAATGAGAGAGGTAGCATATGGAACTATTTACAGCAGTTGTGGCCATCTAGAGATGAGGTCTGTCACCACCGTCATGGTACCAGTGGCAATGGAGTATATGAGTCAAGAAATTAGTTTTTGATGCAGACTGAGTTCAAGGCTCTGCCCTACCTCTCACCAGTGCTGTTACCTTGGACTTGTTATTTAACCTTTCAGTCTCTTCATCTGTTAAATAGGGATAAAGATGATCCCAAGGATGGTTCCTGCGGGTATTAATTAATTAGTATGTGTAAAGAATTTAGAACAGTGACGGTGAGTGGTAAACATTCACTTGATATCCGATTTTTTCAAAAGAATTAGTTATTTAATTTTATTATTCTTATTAGTTTTAATTTGCTATCGGGTATGTATACTTACCAGAGTGGGGCGTTAAGGGAGAGAAAGAAAGTGAGAAAGCAAGCCACCAGGTCTGGGACTTGAACCGCTGTCAGCCATGTGGGAGTCTAGCACCTTAACTACCACACCACTTGCTGGCTCAATATCAGATATTTTTGTAATCATAGTGCTGTTGCATTTGTCGAGTTATTATTTTTTTCATTGCCAGAGGGCATGTGTATTTACTCAAGAAAGATAAAAGGCAGGAGGAGAAAGTACCCCGAGTGGGGTATGTTCATGGCATGATCCTTTTTTCTCTGTTTCTTCATCTCGTTAGGATTTGAGGCACACATGTACATGTGCCCGGTGTGTTTTACAAGTTGCAGAGGCTGGTGTTTAATCTGTGGTTGGCCATGTGGGATCTAGTTTTCTTAACTGTTAGTGTACAGGGCTGGCCCTAAAGAATTATTCATAAAAAATATTTTTAATTATATGTAATATGTGAATGTATGCCTATTGTAAAAAAAAAAAAAAGTCAGACAGTGCATATAATGTGGAAGTCCCTCTAAACTCCCCTTCTCCTCTCATCTCTCTCAGATGTTACCAGTTTGGTGTGCATCCTTCTCAACTTTTTTAGAATTGTCTTTAGAAGGGGCTTGCCAATCTCCCTATCTATCCTTTCATCCATTCATACATGTCCATCCATCAGTTCATCTCTTCTCTTGTCATTTTCTAGAAAGACTTAAGGCAGCAGCCCGTCAAGATATGTAAAACATAGGACTACGTGAATTTGAGGGTGAAAGCAGAGCAATGAGCGAGGGTTCCAGTAGGGACGAGATAAAGTAGAATGAAGAAAAAAGCATACGCTTGGAAGCCCTAACTCATGCTCTGGGTGGGCCGGCAGCTGGGCTCTGTGCCTTCCAACTGGAGACCTGTTCAGTCTCGCGAGTCACAGTGCACATAGACACACACTGCAATTAGTCAGAAAGTGCCCGAGTGATCTCAGAATGAAGACCATTCAGGCATTGCTCCTGGGAGCCCTCAGACAGAGGGCTCTGTGATTAATGACCAGTCTCCCTGACAACCCCTCACAAAAGACGCAGTCATCATTATCAGTGAATTCTCCCTTCAGATGACTCCATGGTAGCGAGTGACATCGGCCTGAAGCTGGGTTATATAAGGAGGTTTTTCTGTGGGGCCAGCAAGGTCCAAGTTAGGGACACACCTCTCTGGTTTGTCCACAGGCACACTTGTTTATGTACTTACACGCTGACCGAAAATTAAATTACATTTTCATCCAAGGAGTGCATTAATCAACCGAAAAAAACCAGTGCTGAAGATTCTTATTAGTTTTAATTTGCTATCGGGTATGTATACTTACCAGAGTGGGGCGTTAAGGGAGAGAAAGAAAGTGAGAAAGCAAGCCACCAGGTCTGGGACTTGAACCGCTGTCAGCCATGTGGGAGTCTAGCACCTTAACTACCACACCACTTGCTGGCTCAATATCAGATATTTTTGTAATCATAGTGCTGTTGCATTTGTCGAGTTATTATTTTTTTCATTGCCAGAGGGCATGTGTATTTACTCAAGAAAGATAAAAGGCAGGAGGAGAAAGTACCCCGAGTGGGGTATGTTCATGGCATGATCCTTTTTTCTCTGTTTCTTCATCTCGTTAGGATTTGAGGCACACATGTACATGTGCCCGGTGTGTTTTACAAGTTGCAGAGGCTGGTGTTTAATCTGTGGTTGGCCATGTGGGATCTAGTTTTCTTAACTGTTAGTGTACAGGGCTGGCCCTAAAGAATTATTCATAAAAAATATTTTTAATTATATGTAATATGTGAATGTATGCCTATTGTAAAAAAAAAAAAAAGTCAGACAGTGCATATAATGTGGAAGTCCCTCTAAACTCCCCTTCTCCTCTCATCTCTCTCAGATGTTACCAGTTTGGTGTGCATCCTTCTCAACTTTTTTAGAATTGTCTTTAGAAGGGGCTTGCCAATCTCCCTATCTATCCTTTCATCCATTCATACATGTCCATCCATCAGTTCATCTCTTCTCTTGTCATTTTCTAGAAAGACTTAAGGCAGCAGCCCGTCAAGATATGTAAAACATAGGACTACGTGAATTTGAGGGTGAAAGCAGAGCAATGAGCGAGGGTTCCAGTAGGGACGAGATAAAGTAGAATGAAGAAAAAAGCATACGCTTGGAAGCCCTAACTCATGCTCTGGGTGGGCCGGCAGCTGGGCTCTGTGCCTTCCAACTGGAGACCTGTTCAGTCTCGCGAGTCACAGTGCACATAGACACACACTGCAATTAGTCAGAAAGTGCCCGAGTGATCTCAGAATGAAGACCATTCAGGCATTGCTCCTGGGAGCCCTCAGACAGAGGGCTCTGTGATTAATGACCAGTCTCCCTGACAACCCCTCACAAAAGACGCAGTCATCATTATCAGTGAATTCTCCCTTCAGATGACTCCATGGTAGCGAGTGACATCGGCCTGAAGCTGGGTTATATAAGGAGGTTTTTCTGTGGGGCCAGCAAGGTCCAAGTTAGGGACACACCTCTCTGGTTTGTCCACAGGCACACTTGTTTATGTACTTACACGCTGACCGAAAATTAAATTACATTTTCATCCAAGGAGTGCATTAATCAACCGAAAAAAACCAGTGCTGAAGGGCAGCAGTAGAAGTGCTTTCCCGCATCTCCCCCATCCATCCACTGCCCCCTGAAACAGTTATTTTATTTTCAACTTTTTTTTTTTTTTTTTACTATTCGTTCTGGAGGGCGTCTTCACATTGCTAAACCACGAGCATTCACTGCTCTCTTTCTGTATCCGGCTGTGTGAAGGCCACTGAATGACCTAATGGTAGATAGGCTTTTAGCTCTGTCAGTGCTTTCCTGTTCCAGTCGGGACTGATGGCTCTCTGCAGCCCTGCACAGCTCACGTCCTGGAGATCCCCTCCGGTGTGCTCCCTGGGCTGGAGTCCCTCTGTCCAGAATCCTGTGTCTTCCTCCTCCTTGTTTTATTTTCGTACTGGGTGGAAGAGACTATGTGGAAGATACTAATTTTTGGACAGCTTATCTGCAGGTACCTTTATTTTTGCATTCACGCCTGCTTCATGGTTGTGTTGGACAGAAAAATCTAAAGTGAAGTCACTTTGCATTGGAATCCCAGAGGCACTCCATTGCTTGAAACAGTCTGACTTGACTCTTGTTTCCTATTGGTGATCTTCTCTCTCTCTCTTTTTTTTAATGTTCTAAAATTTTGGCTATTGTATCTTCATTTAAAATTTTTTGGGTAAACATACAAATCGAACATACACCCACAGTTAACGTGTGACTCAGTGAATGTTCACTGCGTTTGGCTGTCTGTCATCCTTTGTACGCTTTAGTCTTGGTCTCTTTCTGGAGTTCCCATGCTGTGTATTTTGGCTGCTTTAACCTTCCGCATCTCCAGCCAGTCTCTTCCCTGTGGTTAGCTGGAAGGACTCTGTTTGGGACTCTGTTCCCGTGCCACCATCCCGATACTGCTCCCAGGCAGAAAGCTGAGGTGATGGGAAACCTCAGCTCACTTGTCTCCCGCCAGGGATTCCGGGCCGCACTGCCTGGTGGCCCTTATCCGAAAAATGTTGTTTCGCTGATTCTGTCCCGTTTTCTAGTGATCAAGGTGGGAGAGTATGTCCAGACCCTGGTAATTCATCATGGCCATATGTGGAAGGTAGGGTCCGAAATCAGATGTCTGCAGGGACTCACAGGGAAGCGGAGTGACAGAAGAGGCTTGTTATAAACCAACAGGAAACTCTCAGGACTGTCACAGATTGGAGCCCACCCATCAGCTGCAGGTGATTTGCCAGGAGGAATTCCAGTTAATTATTGCCAGATCACCCAGTGTTTCAAAATCCCAGAAGTGCAGATTTTTAGTTAAATTTTGGTATCTTTGATTATTGGTAACTAATTTTTTAAAAAGCCATGGGACTAAAAATCAAAGAAAACAAATGATGGAATACATGAAAGTGTATCTGAGCCCTTCATGAAGACTATAGAGGGCCATGGTGATTAATTAGGGCAGTTGGATTCCACATGGCTGATTTGATGGTTCAAGTCCTGGACCTGGTAGCTTAAAAAACATGCCCTGCATGTATGCATGTGTGCGTGCCCAAAATTCCCAGAGGAGAATGAAGTCAAAGAGATTTCTGCATGGCCACCTCACCCGGAGGGTGATTTTTCACTTTCTCTCTCTCTTTTTCTCTCTCTCTAGTGAGCACACACCCTATAAGCAAAAACTGTAGAACCACATAGTGTTCACTAAAAATTATTTATTTAGGGGAACCAGCAGTTGGCGTAATGGCTACGTCGCTGGACTCCCACATAGTCGACCACGGTTCACGTCCCGGACCCGGTGACTTAAAACTCACGCTGGGCGCGTGTGCGTGTGTGCCCAAGATCCCGAGAGGAGAATGGAGGAGAAGGGATTGCGGCGTGACCATCCCCCCTGGGGGGTGATTTCTCGCTTTCTGTCTCTATGTCTCTCTCTCTGTCTGTCTGGCAAGTGCATGCTTAAAAAAAAAAGAAATTATTTATTTAGCCCGTGTGCTCCTAGTTAAGGCAGTGGGATCCTACTAACCAACTACAGGACTTGAGTCCGGACCTGTCGGGTTGAAAAAACACTTGCCAGGCATGTGTGCATGCATGCCCCAAATCGAAAAGGAGGAGAAAGAGAGAAGGAATTGAGATGTAACCATGCCCCGTGGGGGATGCAGTCTCCCTTTCCCTCTCTGTCTCTTTCTGGTGAGCACATGCACTCGGGAAAAAAATATTTTAAATTATTTTCAGTCAACTGCTAATCGGCACGTGGATCGCAGCTGAAAGCTGCCACCTTGAACAACTGTGGATGGCATGAAGTAAGGGTACCAGAGTGAATTAATGACAATGAATTAGCTTCTTGTGTGGGAATCCTAAGTGGGAGTTTCATTTGTATTCTTAAATTAAGAGATCTTTAAGTTTCTTTGTAGATGAATTTTCTGGCACTGACTTTAAAAAAAAGTTTAAAGCAAAACTAAATGTATTTGACAACCTGACTTTTAAAGTAGGAAGTGATTATTTTTGTTTTAAAAGAAAGTTTCGCTGCCTGTCTTCAGCACAGTGTACAGAGGTTTACAAGCACAGCGGCTTTGAGCTGTCACTTAGTCTCTGAGGTGCATTTCAAAGTCTGAGGTTCTGACTTCACTGGAAGTCTCTTCTTTCAGATTCTGCTTACAGCTGGGGCTGATGGTTTTACATTTAATGAATTGCATTTAAGGCTTCCAAAGACTAAAATAATTTCTTTTTATTCATGTCTACTGGCAAACAATGTCAAAAACAGTGATTGCGGTATTTTATATATATTACTATTACTTTTGGACATTATTTTAAAAATGCAGTTGATTCATGCTGTTAATTCAAAGAAATGCCTAAGCTAGAAATTTTAAATAGCCCTGAAAAGAAACATGACTTAGAATAATAATAAGCCCTAAAAATATTTTAGAACTCTTGCAATTGATTACACTTATTTGTAGATGAGGAAAATAAAGCTCAGAGAGGAATAACTTAGAATCAAGGCCTAATTATTTTCTCCACTTTTAACTTTTTTTTTTTTGCCATAGGGCACGTGCACTCCCTGGAGTAAGACAGAGAGAGGGAAAGTGAGAAATCAACCCCGTGGGGGGATGGCCACACTGTATTCGTTTCTCCTCCATTTCCTCTCAGGATTTTGGGCACATAGTCACACGTGCCTGGCGTGATTTTAAAGCCACCAGGTCCAGGACGCAAACCATGGTTGGCCATGTAGGAATCCAACACCTCAACCCCATGCCACCTCTGGCCCCCCCACTTTTAACTTTTTATTTTCATGATTGTGAGTGTGTGAGGAGTGGGGGTAGGGAGGAGAACGTCCTTTTGTTCTTAGCCTCAACGCCTCTGATTCTTGCCTTGAAGTTTAAGTGAGACCCAAAGTGGCAATTACCGAGCCCACAGCAGACAGTGTGTGCACGGCAATTTGTGCGGCTTTGCCAAATGCAGCACGTGGCTTCCCATTTCTAAGAACTGTGCTGCAAGCACCCAGAGAAACAGAGGGAGGGTCCTCCTGTCCCTGAGACCCAGGCTGAGGAGGACTTAGGCACTGTGGGTAACCAGCTAGACGTTTCGGAGGATGCGGAGGCTGTTAAGAGTTAGCTACCTCATGTCTCTCAGTCTGTGTCTACAAGGAGTCTTGCGCCGTGTTTCTGAGTTAAGCCTCTATTTAGGGCAGTCAGCCTGGGGTGAGTTTGTCTCCCAGGGGACAGCTGGCAATGTCTGGAGACATTTCGGATTACCTGGGCTTGGAGGCATGGTTCTGGCATTTTCTGGGTCAAGGCTAGGAATCGCTGACCCTTACAGAATGCACAGGGCAGGGCAGCCTGTCACCACGATGGGTTGTGAGCCCAAATGTTGGTAGTACAGGTTGACCAGTCTCCGCCCAGCTCTCATCCATCATCCACCCTCTAGTGCACAGACTCCAAGTCTGTCCTGTGAGCCAGTCACCCTCTCCCAGGCACGACAACTGGAGACATGAGGCAGGGCTGTAGACAGGAAGTCCACATGCTTCCAGAGATTAAAAAATCATGAGAAAATTCCAGAAAGTAACTGAAACATACTGATAGATAGTGGTTTGCTTTTTAAAATGTAAAAAGCATACATACTGCTTCATTAGAAAAAAATAGAAGGGGGACCAGCAGGCAGCATAATGGTTACATTACCAGACTCCCGCAGTTTGAGTCCTGGACCCAGCGGCTTAAAACTCACACCGGGGGCAAGTGCATGCATACCCAAAATCCCAAGAGGAGAATGGAGGAGAAGGGATTGTGGCGTGGCCATCCCCCTCAGGGAGTGATTTCTTGCTTTCTCTCTCTCTCTCTGTTTCTCCAGCAAGTGCACGCACCCTGTAGCAAAAAACTTTCAAAGTCAGAAGAAATAGAAGGTAAAGGATTGTGCACATTTAATGTGAAATTTTGCTTATTCCACAGATAGTCTTCAAGTGTGCACTGAGTGCCAGACACTGGTCTAGAGACTGAGGACATAGCTCTAAACAAAAGGAAGGGGACTTCTCTGCCCTGGGAAGCTTCTGCTCCATTGGAGGGGGCTGGCCAATGAATGAAATAAGTATAAGGGGGCTTCATAAAGTTTGTAGAAAATGGAATTAAAGTATGAGTTTATTTTATTACAGAAAGTTTTAAAATCCTTGCATAGTTTTTCATAATATACCTTTTCCTTGAATTTCTTGACCACACCTTGTATGTAAAACAGGTAATGAGTTGAACAGAAGAAGAAAGCAATGGAGAACTAGAGCCAGGAAGATGGGTAGTGCTAGGGGTTCATGGGAAGGGAGTTTGCAATTTTAAACAGCCGAGCTGACATACTGTGAGGTAGCACCCATTGGCAAATAAGAGAGAGACGATCTAAAGGCCGTTCCAGTTCTTTTAACCTGTGTCTTTTTCCATTTCAGAACAACAAAGTCAGGCGTTTTGCTTTTGAGCTCAAGATGCAGGACAAAAGTAGCTACCTTTTGGCAGCTGACAGTGAAGTGGAAATGGAAGAGTGGATCACTATCCTGAACAAGATTCTCCAGCTTAACTTTGAGGCCGCAATGCAAGAAAAGCGCAATGGAGACTCTCATGAAGGTAGGCAGTCCGACAACCCCCAGGCACACGGTTCTTTGCGGTATCTTTGTTCCTGCCTGGTGGATGTAGGAGCAAGCCGTGTATTGTACAGGTACATGACAGGTGGGGTGGAGGTGAGATCTTTACAAATAGCCTGTCTGCAAAGATTCTGTCACATTAGATTGGGCTACCCTGACTTTTTTTATGTGAAAATTATGTAACATGGAAGAGCCACCGCTATGGAGGCAGAAATGAAGACCTGGATTTGAGTCCTAGCATTACAGATTTTCATTGTCTGACTTTGGGCAAATTATTTATGTTTTCTGAGCCTCAGTTTAGTTATCTGAAAAATGAAAATAAAAATGAAAATTTCTGGGACCAGCAGATGGCATAATAGTTACGTTACTGGACTCCCACATTATCGACCGCGGTTCAAGTCCCGGACCTGGCGGATTAAAACTCATGCTGAGTGTGTGTGCGTGTGGGTGCGTGCGTGCCCAAAATCCTGAGAGGAGAATGGAGGAGAAGGTATTGCAGCGTAGCCATCTCTCGTGGGGGGTGATTTCTCACTTTCTGTCTCTCTGTCTCTCTCTGTGTCTCTGGCAAGTGCAAAATGCACCCTATAGCAAAAAATCTCTCTTAAAAAAATGAAAATTGCTGATTGGATGGGAAGAGCAAATAAGAAAGTGTATCTCAAGTACCTGGCATGGGATCTGCACTTAAAATCTTACTATCTTCAGGAATATATTTTGGAATTTTCAAGACAAGAATTAGGATGGATGGGAGCCTCGGATTGAATTGGTCAAAACTCTGGTCATGTTCTTGAGAATTCATGTTATGTTTCAAGCCCTTAGGGAATTCCCAACCTGGCTGCTCCCTAGAAGTGCCTGGAATTTTTAAAAACATCAAAAAATTTTTTCATATATTGAAATGATCACCTTGTAAGCTAAATAATGTGATTGAATATATTAAAAAATGTAAATAAAAAAATTAAAAATAATTAAAAAAATAATAAAAACGTCAAAAAAATTTTTTTGGCTTGGGTTGGGGTCTGGACAGCCTGACTTTTAACGTGTCTGTTGGGTGTGGCCATGTGAGCTGCTGGTCACTGCTGGATCAGGTCTAATTGGACAGTGGCCATGCTTTCCCAGAAAGTAATTGTCATAATTGTCACAGCTATTTTTTTAGAGGAGCCTCAGGTGTTTCTAATGGGGATCCAAAGTTGAGAACCACTGCATTCACGGAGATACTTCCTCTTTTTTGTTTTCAATAAAATATTTCTAATGACAATTGACTCAGGTCATCTGTTTTGCCATTGTAGATGATGAGCAAAGTAAATTGGAAGGTTCTGGTTCCGGTTTAGACAGCTACCTGCCTGAACTTGCCAAGGTAACATCTTAACTCTTCTGCTCTTTACCAAATGCTGTTGAACCATGTTTCACGTCATGCGTTTGTCCAGAATGTCGTCTGTTGAAATCATAGCAGTTATGTTGTAGTCCTGCTCCTGGTTTTCTGACCTGTGTGTGAGACTTACTGACCCGAGTGAGACTTCATTCTTTATTTCGAGAAGTCACTTATAGAGTATTTTCTTTCTGTTTCTGTGTGTTTTTCCCCTTATCATATTAATACTGCATCACAGTGTTAAATAATAACCTACAAACACAGGCAAGTGTTCCCACAATGACTCTCTCACGACACGGACTGTTTTTACATAGCTCTCACATAGCGCTCCCTCTTACCCAAGTTAATAGTGAACAGTTCTGAAGGGGATGGATGTGGTAACCTTGCCACTTCACCAAAGAGGAGCTGTCCGGGTTAGAGAAATTGTTTCTGGGTTACTGTCCTTAGGGAAAAAAAAGGCGGGGAGGGAGCTAGGCCTATATTTCATGATTTTGAGAAATTTACTGGAAAGCACAAAGAACAATAACTGTGTTGCCACCACCCAGATCCTGCATCTATTACTCTTGTCTTTTTAGCTTTCATATTTAAAAAAGAAATGAAAGTTACAGCTGATGCTCTTTTTTGGAGAGTTTTTTTTCGCTATAGGCGCGTGCACTCACCAGACAGAGACATAGAGACAGAAAGCAAGAAATCACCCCCCAGGGGGGATGGTCCCTACTCCTCCATTCTCCTCTCGGGATCTTGGGCACGCACGCACACACACCCAGCGTGAGTTCTAAGCCACCAGGTCCGGGACGCGAACAGCGGTCGACTATGTGGGAGTCCATTGACACAGCCATTATGCTAACTGCTGGTTCCCCAGCTGACACTCTTTTGAAACACTGTCCTTATCCCATCTCTTCTTCCCCAAAACTTCAACCAAGACAACTACTATTATGCATTCTACTTCCATTTCATTTTGATATCTTTATAAATGTACCATAACGCTATCCTTACTCTATAATGCGTGGTGTGGTTTTGTATATTTTCAAATGATTTTTAAAGGTTCACAAACTATAGCATTCTGCACTTGATTTTCTATACTCATTCTTCGCGTGCACTCACCAGACAGAGACATAGAGACAGAAAGCAAGAAATCACCCCCCAGGGGGGATGGTCCCTACTCCTCCATTCTCCTCTCGGGATCTTGGGCACGCACGCACACACACCCAGCGTGAGTTCTAAGCCACCAGGTCCGGGACGCGAACAGCGGTCGACTATGTGGGAGTCCATTGACACAGCCATTATGCTAACTGCTGGTTCCCCAGCTGACACTCTTTTGAAACACTGTCCTTATCCCATCTCTTCTTCCCCAAAACTTCAACCAAGACAACTACTATTATGCATTCTACTTCCATTTCATTTTGATATCTTTATAAATGTACCATAACGCTATCCTTACTCTATAATGCGTGGTGTGGTTTTGTATATTTTCAAATGATTTTTAAAGGTTCACAAACTATAGCATTCTGCACTTGATTTTCTATACTCATTCTTTAATTCGGCCTGTTTTTGAGATCCATCTACACTGGTACGTCCCTTTATTGCTCTGGATAAACAGTTATTTCAGCTGTTCTGTTATTTTTATTTTTCTATCATGAACAGTGCTACAATGAATATCCCTGTCCTTGTCTCCTTGATGCATCTATGAATGATTCTTTTTCGAATGAGAGAAATAGCTTTGTCTTCTGTGGCTCTAAAGTCTTACTCAGTTACTGCCTTTCTGTCCTCTTCTTTGATAATAGAGTGAAAGAGTGACCCCCACACCCACATCTTAAACACTATAATAGAACGTGGTCTCTCTGTATGGGATTAAAAATAGGCTGGCATTCAGCATTGACCTTTACTCTAAGACAACATGGCTGTTCTCAAGTATAAAATTTCCCTTTTTGGCGAGGACGTGAGGGCATTGTTTTTCTTCAGGACTTGACTGTTACCGCAGCATCGTTTTAGCACCTGCCTATTAAAGCTAACTTTAGCGCCACCAGTGTAACCTCCTCGTTAGTCTGGGAGGAGCCTTGGCTCGTGTGTTTGTGTTTTTGTGTTATGCATTTCTGTATGTCATGTTTTGCATTGAGATTTGCTTTTTCACTTTTGGATGTTTTGGGGTTCATAATTTCTCAAAGCGGATGTTTGAACCTGTTTGAGTTTTAGTTTGTTGAAGCAGATAATTTATGTGATGCAATCTAGAATTCAGAAAGTAACTTTCTGCTCCTGCTGGTTAATTAGAATTCTGCATTTTTTCCTCCAAAGACATATAGGAGTTATCCCCTCCTTTTTTTTCTCATACCTGGCCAATGTAATTCAGCATTGCTTAATCCTAAAACCTTGGGATCTTAGGACACACACACACACACACTGTTATTTTTATTTTTATTTTTTTAATTTTAAGATACTTAGAACTATTTTGAACTGTGGGTTACAACTAAGTTAGCTAAAGCTATTTTAGTTGGGGAAATCAATTTGATAGATATCAATCCCCATTTTTTTAAAGAATTATTTAATTTTATTTATTCATTCATTTATTTTAATTTGACCAGAGAGAGACACAGAGAAAGAGAGGGAAAGTGAGAAAGCAAATCACCAGGTCTGAGACTCAAACGGTAGTCATCCATGTGGGAACGTTCAGCGCCTTTAACAACCACGCCACCTGCTGGTCCCCTCAATCCCCGTTTCTTACTTTTTCTTTTATTTCTTTGAAGTATAATCTACGTAGAGCCAAGGATTCGAACATGACTGGCAGCTCAGTGGAGCTGACATTCATACTCCCACGTAACTACCCGCCCAGACTAATACGTGGGACATCAATAGAGCCCCAGAGACTCTCCTGTGCCTCCTTCCCTGTTTTTATTATTATTATTATTATTATTTATTTATTTAATTCCACTTGTTATTATTTATTTTTTTAAAAATTTGACCAGAAAGAGACAGAGAGAAAGGGAAAGCGAGAGGGCAGGCTGCCAGGTCTGGGACTAGAACTGTGGTTGGCCATGTGGAATCCAGTGCCTTTAACCACGCCACCTGCAAGCCCCAGGCCCCCTTATATTTTACCTCCGTCACTGTGGATTGATTTTGACTGTCCTAGACCCTCCTATAAATGGACTCTCACATTCTCTATCCTTTGAGTTAGGCTTCTTTAGCTCATCGTTATATGATCCCCACTTAACAACAACAACAAAAAAATGAAGTCTAATGAATAGAGTATAAAAGTATGCTCTCCTAAATAATGACGGATGTTATTTCAGTTGCATGCACATAGTATGTCTATTACTTTGTGATGTAAAACGTGTCTCTTACTGTGGGTCCTGGTCACAGTCTAAAAATTAAGGTACTCTGGAGGGCTTTAACTATCTTTTCCCTCAGGTCTCAAATGTTTTAAAAATATTTTTATTTGTGACCAAGCGCAGTTGCATGTGCTTGTAATCCCAGTGGCTCAGGAGTCTCAGGCAAGAGGGTTGTGAGTTCAGCTTCCCTGAGCAACAACATAGTGAGACCCTCTCTCTAGAAAGAGAAAAAAAAGTTGTTTTTAATTATCTTACTTAAGAAGATAAAAGAGACAGAAAGTAACGTTTGAAGGGAAAAAGAATGGTGGAAACTAAGATCTGAGATGTGCTTCGGTCCACGCAGTGTGCTGCCGTCAGGAGTGTGGGGTGCAGTGACTGTCACTGCCTTTTACTGGCCCGCTCAGTGGTGTGCGGTGTGAGGCCCAGGCGCAGCTGGAGACCCTGTGCAGCCTCTTGGTTTCTTCATGACCCAGGGCCCTGAGCAAGAATGGGGTTTTGGCTGTTTATCATTCCCACCCTTTCCAGAAAATCTGGGGTGGGGTCATTTGCACCCATTGGGACTTGCAGTAAACTGGCTGCTAACTGGCTGTTTTGTTTTTAGGAGGAATAGATTTATGGCTACAGAATTAGAGACTGAGCCGTGGGTGAGGGGTTAGGAGGAAGGAGGCTTGCGGCACAGTTGTGCAAGGAGGGAGAATTCAGTTGGGATGGAGCCAAGAAGTCAATGCCAGGGAAGGAAGGTACAATAAAGGACCAGGCTGGGAAGCCGAGCCACAGTCTCAGAGACTGCAGAGAAAGGCCTAGAACAGTAGGGAAGGTGGAAGGTAGTGGAGGGTATAATTTAATGGGAGACTCCTCTCATTTCAGCTGTTCTTTCTCCCTACTTGTCCCATTGTCCTGAATGGCTTTTGTTTTCCATTGTGACTGAGACATAGCCAAGCAGGATATGATCAACAGGAAGTTGTCTTAATGCAGAAATAACTGATACCTCCTTCTGAGTATCGGGAAGCTAGGGCAGCCCTTTACTTACGGTGTGAGTGACATAGACTCAGATTTTCAGACTATCTTGTATATTCTTAGAACTTAGGCTTGTACATTTAGTACTGAGTATTTTTTTATTGTTTTTACATTAGGGATCACACTGTGTCTACCTTGAAACCTGTTCTTTTCCTCCAATTGTCTACTATAGAACTAAACAAATTTTGTTATAAATATAACAGGATATATAGCATCAGTCTTATAAATATTTTTATTAAATGTACAAACTGTAGTTAAAGTGAGTTATTTTTTTTCCCAGTAGAACCCAAGGCACAGCCCAGCATAGGCAGTGCCACTTCTTGTGGCTGGAAGCCACGTAGGAGGAAGCTGTGGCTTCCTCCAACTTGACAGACTGGGACAGGAGGTTCTTCACCCAATGAAACTCTGAAACACCTGTCTCTTTCTCCCTTTTGCTCTCTCCCTCATGAAGGGGGAAAGGAGGAGAAAGGCAAAAGGTGATTTGATTAGGTTGTGGATCCCATTACCAGTCATTTAATTGTCTTCGCTTGGTTACGTTTATCTTCGGAGACATTGGGTCATCCGTATCACATCTTTGTATAAAGACGGCATGAAGAAAACCCTTATGCTCCCATCCTATATTTCCCACCACAGTTCTATTTTTGATTT